ATGAATACTTACCTGCATTTTCAGTTCTTTTGCACTTTTGTAATATTTCAAACTGAAATAATGAAAACGCCTCTTCAATTTTCATTTTTTACTTGTTTCAGAATTATGCTAGGATCTCTGTTCAGTAAGTTCAGTGCCACCTTATTTCTCATTTTTTACTGTCTGCGTTGAGCCCTGCAGTAATCTTCTCAGCAACTGAAATTGGTTTCTCAGAAGTGCAGATACTTCACTAAGGTTAAAGAAAGGAAGCCTTCAGTGAGCATTTAAAGATCACGTAGTCCACATTTCCTCTTCTTACTTCTACCAATGCAGGATCAACTCTTCATGGTTTATATATAATCCTGCTTTATATATTTTTGGTTTGGCAGGTGGTGAGCATTTGCTTGCGCATCATTTGTTATGCGCATGCACACACAGCCATAACTATTATTCTTTTCTTTATCCCAGTAAAAAGTTTTATCTCAAGTCATGAGTTCTGTGGGTTGTTTTTTTGTGTTTATTCCCCCATCTCACAGGGAAGGGAATGAGTGAAAAATAAAACAGGAGACTGATGTTCTTTTTATGCTCCCTGAAAGTTTCTGTGAGGATCTGCAGGATGTGATAGGCACTACCATAGAGGTGGTACTCCTGAAGCACTAAATGCAGAACTGTTTTTAAAAACATGATCTGAGTGCAAGTCTTGAGTCATAGTGTTTTCTCTCTCATTTTCCTTCTTGATTTTTCACGTCATTGAAATTTAAACGAGGCATTGAGAAGAACACCTTATGCCTCCTTTCTGCATAGAATGGGTAGAATGGTGGTTAGGAACTGAAAATACTCACTGTTGATATAGAGAGTAAAAGACAGGATTTCAGTGCAGGTCCTTTCCTTCTTTAGTTTGTGTATTCCTTTGTACACGTAACAAATTTTTCATTACTGTCTTACCCAAGTCACTTGTAATCACCATTGGGTGCAATTTCTTACAGGTTAGAAATAAAGCTTAACTTTTGCTTTTATTATATTTTATCACCTCTAATTGAATAGAAATCATAAGTGGTTGACTCCATCAATACAGGTACTGAGAGATACGGTAACACCGTAACTGAAAAGCTGATCTGAAGCGGAGTTTAAAAATTTTGTGTGGTTGCATCTTTTTCATTTTAAGTATTTGTTTTAATAAACAGAGAAATTTGGATTAGTGGTAAAACCACATGTCAGTTGAGGATGGCTTTATCATAATATGTTACTGCCTACTTTAAATAAATACTTCATATAGTATAATGTATAATACTATATAAATAGTACTTTTAAGTATTTATTCAATAGTAGTACTATTTATATAGTACTATACATTATACTATATGAAGTATTTATTCAAAGTACATTGTTTAGTGTCAAAGGTTTTATTCAGAGGAATAACAATAACAGAGAAAAACGCTGAACACTTATGTTTAAAAAATGAGCACTAATAACCTCTTAAATTCCCAGCTTCTTTGCAAAAAATAGTACATGCTTGCACAGCCTGTAGTAGAAGCAATATAGGTATATGGAAATTGAAGCCTTCAGCAGTTTGAGCAGTCTGTTGACTTGAGAAGCCAGAAGCAATTGGCTATCAGAGCATAAATAAAAGTCTGCAGGGAAAGACCTTATATTCCCAAAGAAATGATGCTGCAAATATATAGTGCATATGGGAATGTGAGCAGAAGATATGCTTATGCCTATAATATCAGCACCTTTGCTGTTGTCTTCGAATAGGCCTTTCAAGGAGTAGAACGGAGTAGAAATGACCAATCTTTTTATTCATGTCAGCATTGCTGTGCTACTGTTATTTTTCAAATAGTCATTTTTTCCCACTTTTTTCAAATGTTAGAAATAAAATAATCCATGATTTTGCAGTGATCCAAACTGTACTTGGCATTCATTTTGGGAGGTCTTCTCATCTCTCTGGGATTTACTGTGTTTCTTAGATTTTATTGGAGGAGAGAAACATGCATGAAAATTCAAGAAAATGTTGCCTTCTGCACGTTAAGTATTTTAGCAGATTACGTTTACTGATAATTGCATTTAAAAAGTGTAATTGAGTGGGGAATTGGAGGATGGTTTTCATGAGTGCACCTGTTTTTAGGGGTGGGATTGTACACTGGGGCAGATCTGTTGCTAGATGATATAGCTGCTAAATGATGGTTCTGCTGGTTTTGCAGATCTGGAGTATGGCTAAAATAAGATTGTGTAATACATGGCAAGGGGAATAGGTTGAAGAGATGTCTGAAAACAAGGGGACAATTGCATGTTTAGCATAAACCCCTTTCTAACTAAAATGGGAAAAAGAGTCATCAGTTCTAAGTCCATTCTGGATCTAGCTAGAGCATTGCTTTGTCAGACACTTGTTGTGGGCTTGTCACATCTATTATTTTAAAAGTCAGTGGCTTTGTTTTAAGTAGATTGTGTCAGTCTTCGATGAAACTTGTCTTTAAATGTATGTGGTGTGATTCATGAGCTGTATTTTTTTTCTTCTTTTGTTTTGTAAGCAAACAGCTTAACCTGTAGCTGGTGATTGTGGATTTGCGATGCTTTTGATTTGTTTTAAGACTATTCCATCATATCATAGATGCACAGCAAGTGATGCTTTTAATCAGATATTTAAAAAACAGGCTGTGCAGCTTTGAAAAAAAGACCCACTATTTTCAGATTCTAATTGCTCAACTGTTGAACGCTTTTCTCCCTAGCATTTTCTTTTTGCATTTAATCAATATTAACTTGATAATTTGGTTCTTTCCTAAAATTTTTTATTTGTGAAAACTTAGTAGTGTGTTATTTAAGGCTATCTGCATGGTGCAATGGTATAAATATTAAGACAAAATTAATTGTCTAAAGGGTTTAAAGTCTAAGTAATTTAGGTATTAGTAATCTAGAAAATGAGCATGACACATTGAGCTTTATTTGGTGTATTTCATAGCTTTAAACATAATTTTGCATATCCTTTGTTTTCCAAATGAGAAGATAATTTTGTGAAGTTGCTGCTAATTGGTAGTAATTCAAAGTGGTAAGAGTCCTCCTTGCATTTTAGAAGTCAACCAAACAGTGTTTAAATTAAATGATATTTGAGTGTATTTGTTACATTATTAATTATTAAGTAGCACATTTGTGGTGATTAAATTCCTGATTTATGAAAATACATGGTAAATCATTTTAGTATGCTAGTATAATTATACCATGTTGGTGCTATTTTATATGCAGCAGATTAAATGTTAATTATACAGTCTTCCTTAGTTGAGCAATTAGTGTACTTGTAATTTTAATCTAAAACAAGTTCTTGGTTTTATGTTAGAGAATTTTAGGTAAATGAAGAGCTTTTTGCCAGCTCAATGTGGATAATGTTTGGTTAGTTTGACTTTTTGCTGTTGCGGTGGGTTCTTTGTATATGTGTCTTTTTTGGTGGTTGCTTTTTTCCCCTACTTACAATTTGATTTTCATTTAATCTCTACAGCTGGTCTCTGTCTTCAGCTTTTCCTGCAAAGTGAAAGGTTTTTTTTTTTTTTTAGATCTATGATAATGATAATTCATGCTGTTCTCTCTTAAATGGGAGAGAAACAATTTGTGTTGTTTTTTTTAGAAGTATGGCGCTCTGAAATGGATGAGATACTGCTCTTAAAAGATGAATACTTCAAAAGTAGAGCAAAACACTTGCCCTCATGATTTTTCAAATATTGTTTCTGTTTTTGCTTCTCAGACTGTTGTTTTCTCTGATAGTATTTTCTATTTTTTAATCAGTTGGCATGATAGACTTGCTTCTATACAATACACATTTTTGTGTAATGTAATAATGATTTTTTTGTTGTTGTTGCTATCTGTCCAGCTGGTTCCAATTCTAAGTTTGTTTTTCCAGTTGCAAATTTGATTTTCCTGCTGGAGAGTAGGATGCTTTCATACTGGTCTCTTTTTTTTTTTTTTTTTTGTACATTTATGCACTGGTGAAGAAAGCTTTTTCTTTTCTTCATTGTGGTTACATACCCTCTTCCCTCTCCAGCTACCTGGCAAAGTAATAATAAGATGGTCTATTCTTCTCTACCAGAGCTGTTAGTAAAAGACTCAATCCCAGCAGTTTTATTCTGAAAGCCTCTATATTCTCTTCTGTTACATGAGAGCATGAATATTACTAAAATTTGTAATTACTTAAATTTTACCAATTTTGTAATAGGTAAAAAACAAACAAGCAGGAAAAAACAACAAAAACCAACAACAAAAAACCAACCGATTAAAACTCAGAGTCAAGAGGATTGGTAATAGTATAAAGAAGCAGCATTTGAATTTAGGATGAGAAATTTCCTAGTTCTTACTCTTTGGTATAATGGAGTTGTTCCAGTGGCATGATACTTGAACTGTTTCATGAATGTATACCCTCAGCTCTGGGGATTAGTGTGGCACGTTGTTTTGATTCTTTCTATTCTTTGCTTTAAATAGTATTTCAACCACTTCCCTCAATAAATAATACAGTTTGAGTTATACAATGTTTTTGAATGTAACATCAATAAAAAGCCACATTAAAAAAAAAAAAAAAAGCTCAATAGCTGATTAACTGATTTAAGTGATATCTAATGAAGTAGTAACTTTACGATCTAGTATTTTGTCTAACATTAAGTTCCTTCTAGAGAGATGGAATCTACCCTCTTAATTGTGAACATATCTACTGCTTTTAGGCCTAACTGATTTAGAAATAACAGAATGATGCTACCTTTATATAGATTTCCTACATGTTATTTCCTTGCCATTGATTATATATCTCTTGACCCCCCAGCAATGTGCTTTTACATAATAAAAACTGATAATATCTCTCTGAGTGAAAATACTCCATAGTAGGCTCTTCATATTTCATGAAGCTAAAAAGGAAGTTAGCTTTGGCAATGCCTAACAGATAATAGTTTGGCAGTGAGCAAAAGAAGAGTTGGAATAACATAAATACTTTGTTTCAAAATACATAATTATTTAGTTATGTTGTTTGTTTATTTGTTTGTTTTGCACAGGTTATTAACGCAGCTATAGCTCTTTCTGCAAGACCAAAAAGTCAAGTTGTAAAAAACAACATGGAGATGTATAGGAGCATATGGGAGAATCACATCCATGTTCTTACTGAAGCTGTGGATGACATAACAAGTATTGATGATTTCCTTGCTGTATCAGGTATGATAGCTTTTAGAATCAGATTATTTTTCTATGTGCTTCAAAAACTTTTCATAGGAGAGTCATTTTTCAACTGGAAACCAGCAAGATCAGTTTGTTTAAGGATTTGTGAAGCCTCCTGTATGTTTTAAATGTCTCGGCATAAGTGTTTCTACTGTGTACAGTGTAGAAGTCTTGAACAAATTGCATGTGTGTGAAGCAGAATTGCTGTATTTGAATGGATGCATTTATCCAGTTTTATGGTTTCATTTGCTTCTAACTTTTAAAATCCTCTGCACTGTGTGAAGTCTTTTTCTGTGAAAGGAAGTACAAATCAGTGTGTATATACATAGAAGATTGTCTGGGCAGTTCTCTTCCCTCCCAATGTAACATTATGAAAAATACTGTAATTTAGTATTCAATAGATCCTTCAAAGCTGTTGTAATTTACAATGGTAATTCCAACAGAAACTTTCATTGGGACACTTAATGAATTGATTGATGATTTTTGACTTCAGGAGGAAAAAGAAAGTGGCACTGAATCAGTTTCTGTAGTTTGGTTTTTCCTTTAGCTGTGCAGTTACTAAGCTTCCAGTCATCCAAAGTTTTTCTGGATGTTTATATGCTGGCTGTTTATTTATGTAAGTAAGTAAAACTTGGTTCTACAGTAATTTCTGTGATAGACATAGAAATTAGAAATCACGTGACTTACTTTTTAATGTTGATACGTTTAAAAACACCTTATAAACAAAATAACCCAAACTAGTCATACCTTGTATATTGATTGCTCTAAAGTTTACTTGTGTATTCCTGTGTTTTTTCAAAAGTACCATCTTTACTATGGTAACTTGAAACTGCTGGACTGGAGTCCCCGTAGCTGAGTATCAAATGGTATTTCTCTTGTGATTGAAACACTGATTGAGACGGTGCAAAAACCATAAGCTGAAATGGCTCTTCAGGCTCCTTCTGAGTTTGCCTGTTGCTGGATAAGATCTTCTCCTTGCTTTACACTGGTTGGTCAGTATAACTAACCAAGTGATTTAGGTTTGAATGTAGAAGAATTTCCTGAGAAATAGTGTGAATTGACTATTTGTTGAGCTCCTGTCCTAAATGTTATCTAAGCATCTTAGTACAGAAAAACATAACCTGAGATTGTATTTAATAGATGCTGATTACAAACCCTCCTTTTGCTTATACGGTGCGGGAGGTTGCAAATCTGAAATTTCTGTAAATGATACCAAAACCGTTACTAAAGTGAAGAAAGAGGTCAATTTTCTCCATTAATAATAAATCAAATCCTGAAATTTCTACCTACTATGAAATACCCTATGGTTTAAAATTCTTCATTCAATTTGAATTAAACATTTCTTTTTGACTATGCAAATGCAATCTATTTAAATATCAAAGTTCAGATATTTTTTATAATTTCCTTGGTTTGAAGAGTAATGTAAGAAAGTACATTAGCATTTGGAAAAAAATATATCCATCGGTGGACAATTACTTGTTTCAGAGTAAACCCATAAATTTTTTGATCTGTTCTACATTACTTGAGTATAGTGGAGTGATTCAGTGTTTCACAGTTCACGAAAGCAGAAGCTATAACTTAAGTAGCAGTGGTGTGCAGGCCTATTTATCATGAGGTCCAAAGAACTGAACATCCATGTACTTTAAACCATATGTCAAACATCCTCTGTAAGCTTTTTCAGGATGTTTTTGTACATTGGCATTTCATGTTTTCACTTAAGTGAATGCTAAGTAGATGTTTCCTTATGACAGTGTCATTTATTTCCTATGAGAAGATTTTTTTTTTTTTTTTTAGTGCATAGAGCTGATTATTTAGACTAATTACAATGAATGGTGCAGTCATTCAATAAAATAAGGGCCTTCCAGTACTTCAAAAAGCTTAAAAACAAGAGGAAAATCAACTTTCTACATGGATAGGTGGTGACAGGACAAGGGGGAATGGTTTTAAACTAAACAAGGGGAGATTTAGGTTAGGTGTTAGGAGGAATTTTTTTACTGAGAGGGTCGTGAGGTGCTGAAAGGCTTCCCAGAGAAGTTGTAGATGCCCCATCCCTGGAGGTGTTCAAGGCCAGGCTAGATGGCTGCTCTGGGCAGCCTGATCCAGTTCTTGATCTAGTGATTGCCAGTCAAAGGAAAGAAAGAAGGAAAGAGGTTGGAACTGGATGATTGAGGTTCCTTCCAACTGAAGCCATTCAAAGGGATAATACAGGTTGAGTGTTATTTTTATTTTTATTTTTATTTTTATTTTTATTTTTATTTTTATTTTTATTTTTATTTTTATTTTTATTTTTTATTATTTTTTTTTAATGTCAGAGGAATATAAAATTAGATTGATAATGGACCTGTTTTTTTTTTTTTCTCTAAGAATTTTTTCTACAGTGAATGCCAACACAAATGTATTGGAAGAAAGCTGTTTTTTCAAATAATGTGATTTATTTAACAGTTGATACTGTGCTTTCTCAGAGTATCAGATGTATATAGTTGGTTTTAATGGCTGAGTGCAATTGCTTCTTCCAGGCAAGGGAAGTGGTTAGTCTTCTCATGGTAGATGTTTATTATAAAAACATAATACATTTTTTTCCATAAACACTGAGAACATACCTTCCCTAGTAATTCTGGTAATTCAAGTTTCTAAATCTTACATCAGTTTGGCAGCTTAAGAGTTTGTTTTAAACTGCAACTCTGGTTGATCGATTGGTCAGATTTTTCTTCCAGATGGGAAAGCATACTTTCCAAACCTGGTAAGAGTTGGGAACATATATTTTGTGGTTCATGTTATGTATCTCCTTCTCACACAGCATCACCTGAAGCTTCGTTTGCAATTTATTTATAAAACAGTGTTATTAATGAGTTTTGTGGTTTACTAATGAATTGGAGGGGTAAATTGAGCACTTCTAGGTGTGTTTCTGCTATACAAATCTTAAAGGTATAATGTAGCTCCTATTAAAGGCATTGCTAAAATTTTGTGCAGAGCTCCGCAGTAAGTAGATTAGTGTCTGTTTTACTGTTCTAATATGTTGTTTTGTTGTCTTAAAAATAAATGGAATTAGGAGTAGTATAGCTAAAAAGATGGAGAAAAATCAAGCCGTGCAAAAAGGCCTCCTCATTACTCTTCATGAGCCAGTTGTGGGGTTGCTGAAACAAAAGATGTACCGAAAAACTCTCTCATGCTCCTGTGATACGTGTCCTTTTCTGATGTAGCACAGGGAAGAGACAGTAATCTGTTGCAGATAAAAAGGCTGAAGGGAATTGTGAGCATTTGAAAATGGAGGAGAAAAGAAAGGTACTAACAATTAACTAATTAATTGTACTAATTATGCTGCTCTTATTTTTCTAAGTAGATGGGTGTCTTATTTTCTGATTCACCTATCCTCATGAAATTGTTGTTTTTGTTCATCTGTTTCAGTTTTGTTCTATTTATTTATGTGTTAACTCAGGTTAAAGGAAAAACAATACTTCAGAGACAAATGAAATTAGTTCTCTTACAAGGTAGGAAGAGGTCTGATTGCAAATAGCCAATTTAAATGAATGTGTATTCTTTTTAAAAGAAAACAAGAGCTAATGAGTTGTGTAAAAACATGTCATTGCAAATATGAAACGTGACAAATAGTAATACCATTATTGGTAGATGTTCCTAGGTACAGAGAATTGCTGTCTATCAGTTATAGATAGCTTATTAAAGTAAGAATAAATGTGGATATTAATCTTTATGACACACTAATACAAATTTTACATGGCCTTATGGCCCAAACAGGAACATGAACTAAGTGACCACATTTTTTTTGCTACTGTAATGTAGTTTTTATTTGGTGTCAGTAAATCTTCCTCAGCTTAACAGTAGCAAAAACAAACAGAAAAAAATAATTTTCTCTTGTCTTTTTGCAAAAGCTTGGGTTTAAGGATATAGTTTACTGAGAAAAACAGGAGGAGTAAATATGCAACTTCATTTCTTTACTAACACTGTCCCTTAAGGTCTGAAGTCTATGCTGTTAAATGCAGTTTTTACAATTAATAGCAATCTTTAATAGTTAATTAGGAATCAGGATGTTGTATGGAATTTATTAACACAAATAGCAGCAGGTACAAAATTGCAAAACAGGAGAGTAGAATGAAAGAATAAAAGATACTAGAAGAAAACTCTTGATTATAATCAAACATGTTGCACAGGGCAGGACAAACTTCAAATTAGATCAGGTTTCCTGGGTCTTGTTGAGTGAATACTTAAAGATCTCCAGGAACAGAAACTCCCTGGCTGCCCTAGGCCAGCTGAAAAATAGTTTCTCATTTTCCTTTTTGCATCTAATTGTAGAATGATTTCTGTTGAAATAAACCTTAAATGCTATGTAGTTCCAAACCCGCTGCCATGGAGGGAGGGGAGAGACACATCTCATTAGACCAGGTTGAATAATGTATGATGCTTCCACACTATCTCTGGTCAGCCTGTTCCAATGCCTCACCACTCTCTGAGTAAAGCATTGTTTCCTTACACCTAATCTGAATCTCCCTTCTTTTAGTTTAAAGCTGTTACCCATTGTCCTGTTTCTACATTCCCTGATAAAGAATCTGTCCCCAGTGTTCCTGTAGACACCCTTTAAGTTCTGAAAGAGCATAATGAGGTTTTTCTGGGGCCTTCTCTTTTCCAGCCTGAACAAGCCCAACCCTCTCAGCCTTTTTTTCGTAGGAGGGTTGCTCCAGCTCTCTGTTCATAGAATCTTAGAATGGTTTGGATTGGAAGGGGCCTTTAATATCATCCAGTTCCAACCCCCTGTTATAGGCAGGGACGCTTCTCACTAGACCAGGTTGTTCAAAGTCCAATCTGGTCTTGGACAACCTGTTCCAATATCTCACCACCCTCACAGAAAGGATTTCTTCTTAGTATCTAGTCTAAATCTACCCTTTTCCAGTTTAAAACCATTTCCCCTTGTACTGTCACTACATGCCCTTCTAAAGTTCCTCCCCAGCTTTCCTGTAGGCCCCTCTAAGGTAGTGGAAGACTGC